CAGTTAACCCGAAAGGGGAGGGTAGGCTAAGCAGCTCTTACAAGCGCTGACTGCGCTGACTGTCCAGCGGTATAGGAAAAGGGAACCTTGAATCAAGCCATGCGTACTTCTTCTTTTTAGTATATGCGATCTTATTGAGATATTCCAACAAGGGATCCAATTCTGCGTTCTTTCCGTCTTGGAAGAGACTGAAGAAATAACAACCAGTGTTGCCGGGGAGCCAAATGTGCACCACTGATAACAACGCTGAGCTCGGTTTTTTCGCCCTGTTTATATAGGCGCCAGTCGCTGGCACCCGCGAGTCGGGAGGAAGGAGGAGCGCAATTTTGAATTGGATGTACGTGACAAAAACAAAAAATAGGCTTTTCTCCCCGAAATATTATTCGTACCGGTTTAAAACTCGGCATGGTTTACGCGAACTTAATTTAAAACTAAGAGATCGAGTTATTTCTGCATTAATTAGCAGAATTTTTAAGTTATTAGTAAATTAATTTTAGGGACTTTCTCCGCGGTCCACACTGCTCCCTCCCGCGACTCCTTTGGTCGGTACTCGCTAACGCGACTAATTAGCATTACTCATTCGTTTCGGATTAATTAAGGTGGTCATGGTGACCAAAAGACAACAAATTAATTAGAGGAATGTATTAACGCAATAAGAGACCTCAAAATTAACCATATTCCTGGTCAAAGCGACCGAAATCCCATTGCGAGTTCGGAACGACGAGTGACACGCGCACCGCGGGCTGTGATTGGTGCGCGATAACTTATTTCTATTTTGGAGAATTATAGGCCTTGAGGCGTTTGGAGTAAGGAAAGCTAATTTTCTCTAAATCCGCGTAGGACGGTAATAACGTAACAGTCATAGCGTACGAAAAAGATTTCTTTACTCCACGCGGAGTTATTCGGTCTAGCATTTCGTCGCAACACATCGGCACACGGCACGCGCCTTACGGGCGCTCCGATTGGCTCACGCGGTACGCGTGTCGGCGCGATGGAATCGCACGTCGCCGAGTAAGATTTCCGCTATGAATTTCACAATTTTAATAATAAAAATATTTTAGATAGACGATGTAAAATACAAAAATAATTCAGCGCAAAATGAAAAGATTAAATAACAAAAATATTCGCAAAAAAACAGAATTATATTCTCGCGGAAGCCAGGACATAACAACACGTGTTTAAAATAAAAAATATAAAATAAGTTCCGGAAACTTATTTAAAATATTAAATGAGAAATAAGTCAGGAATGTATTATAGTTATTTAAAATAAAATAAATACTAAATGATTTATTTTATTTAATATATATGTATACTTTAATTTTTATCGCTTTTACAAGTATATAAAAATTATTAAACGATTTTTACGTATATTTTGACATTTTTAGAAAGTATTTGTAAATTTGTATATTTATAACAAATTGTATATAAATTGTTATAACTAAATATAGTAACAAAATGAGAAAAATGTACTTTTTCATACAAAAATGTAAAACTCTGGAACAAAAATATTTAAAGAAAAAATATGTTTCAATATCTTAAAGTTGACATTCACAAAAAAAAAAATCGTTCAAGTGTTGAATCGTTCAAATTTTGAATGCCAACTTTAAGATATTGAAACATATTTTTCCGTTAAATATTTTTTTGACAATTTTATCGATAGTGTCAGAAAATGTACGTAGTCACGTAGTTCCGAAAACGGAAAATGGATGTACTGGCGATAGCGTATGTGCGATTTCGACAGTAACAGGAAAAAGGCCGGCATTGGGTGCATCCAGAAGCACGACCGCTCACTGAGCGCTCAGTGAGCTCTTGCATCTGATTGGCATATTCCATTAGATCGAAAAATATAGACCAAACAGATACAAGAGCTCAATGAGCGCTCAATAAGAGGTCGTGCTTCTGGATGCACCTATATTGCCTCTTTCAGGTTTCTCTCTGATATTGCTAAACTCGCTGCTATATACTGCATGCACATGAAATTTCCGTCCGTAGGTAATTGAGATTCGGTGAAATAATGTCAACGTTTTTCGTGACACCGTCGAAAAATCGCCCGTACACCTTGAAAACACAAAAAATATGATATTAAGAAAATTTTTTATTCATCATAATTTAATTGCTCATATGTACCCCTTCAAATCAAACCAGATCTCTCTCTCCTGTGATATTTTCTCATATCATCAAAAACAATGAAGATATAAATGATCAAGTTAGAGGATTATTTATTATACCATACAAATCTTGTATAATAAAGTTATTATTATACAAACTAATAATCGCTTATTGCAATACAATTGAAATATCATAATTGTAAGATATAAATGAGTTACTGTGTGTATGCGTAAAGGATCTAAGAAATTTGATTTTATATTACGTGAAGAAAAATATTGTTAAACTTAATTCCTGCCATTTTTAGTCTCCAAAATTGATTTGTTTCAAAGGGAAGATGAATGAATACCTTAATCAAAGTAATTTCCTCCATTTTCTAATTTATTACTAATTAATAATACTTTATTAATAATACTTTGATTAAGATATTTCCCTTCGAAACAAATCAATTTTGAAGACGAAAAACGGTAGAAATTAAGTTTAACACCTAATATAATCTAATTATAGGAGTATAAATAAGTTTCCGCCGTTTTTTATCAAAAATTGGGCATTTATTGTGAAAGAACGGTGCATAATGTTTTATTCGAAGTATTGTCCATCGCTAGCCACTACTTTTTCCCATCTTTCTGGCAGCATACGGA